GGTTATTAATAATTATGGGCACATAACAAGGAATCCGAAATTGCTCATATGCTGAATGAAGTAACTAGTTGTGGATTGAATGATGTCGAAAATCTAGCCGAAGTTTTGACAGATTATTTCGGTGGTAAGTTCCTTTGTTTCAGCTAGCCTAGGCCTTATTATTTTAAGAGAACCATGTTTCTTTTATTTTTTTAAATTTAAATTTAAATACTGCAATGAAATACAAATGATTTAAAAAACCATCTATCGCTACTCTACCCAGGCCTGTCGTCGGTGCTACGATCTTTGGGCCAGGCCGACAGTAGGTATAGCCTAGGCCTACTGCTGTCTGTAGATAGAATATAGGCCTAGGCCTACTTAAAATATAAAAAAAAAACAACCTTCCAGCTTATCTAAGGCTGCCTCTAAGTACTGCCTCTAGGCCCAGCCTATTTTTAGAAAGGTAGACCAAGGCTGTTGTGGGTTTTTTTTTTTTATCTCAAATTATACATTTTAAATTTTCATTAAAATCTGTCTAGGCTAGCCCCTGTCGCCTAGTCTTCAACAATAATAATCATAATTCGGGTGAAGGCCTAGCTAGACTACTATTAAAAATTAAAATAAGTTCAATCCATGGCATACATTGTAATATAATTATTTTTCTTATTAGTTGTAAAAAAATATAGGCCTTGTCCCACTCCCCTCTGTGTTATAAACATGCTAAGTATTTTCTGTTCATTATTTTTTTAAATCATAGATCGTGAAGCCAGTGATAGCGATTCTGAAAGCTCTGATGAAGAACCCATGGATACTGATTCTGATGATCCTTTTGAGCAACGTAATGAGGCAGAAGATGCTAATGCTGAAGATGACGTGACGAAGTGGCATTAGCTATGGCACAGGTTGAAGATGATGATGAGCCTCAAGTATTTGAACGGAACTGTCAATGCAAATGCAAGATATTTAATGGACTAGATGTATATAGAGCAGTTTACAGATATGGAACAAGATGAAAAACGGTGCGTTAAAATTATTTTTTTCTGTGATTAACATACAGTAATTTAATTCTTGTTGACTGCTGTGATTTCATTGATTGCACATATTTCTTGAATAATATTTTTCAGGTTAAATACAAGTGAGCTCACAGACTATGAAAAATGCCTGATTCTTATTGGAATGATTGCTGCATCAGTGAGCGACTCTCAGATGACTCAGCGATCAAAACAAAAGTCTGCCACTGACTTATGTTGGACTTGTCAGAAGAACTTAATCATAAAGCAGGTATGTTTTATTTAAATTTTTGGGTATTATTTTCATTAGTACTTAAATTAAATTGAAAGGTCCGCTGATAAATCTCAAATAAGTATATGCATACTCTAACTAGTTCAACATTAATTATGTCATCATTACATAAATGTTAAATATTAAATTATAACATAATGGCATGTTTTTTTTTTTAATACTTGGAGTATGCATTATACTTTTAAACTTAAATTGATTTTCTTTTTTTAACTTATCAAGGCATTGATTTTCTTTTAGGCAAATGTTCCGGAAACCCAGAAATCTGCTGCCTTAAAAAAGCAGGAAGACCATCTCAACCGATCGATGATGGAGCGATCACTTTATCAAAAACGCTGCCAGGAATCGAAGGAAGTTGTCAAAGATTTGCAACTAAAAGGACTGTCAAAGAGCCAACCAAATTCTCATGATGTCACCTTTCATTACTCATTTGATTATGCTCAACAGGTTCACTACCCTTGTGATCCATTTCAGCCTGGACAGATTTTTTTTAAGACATGCAGGAAATGCCGCTTGTTTGGGATCCATGCAGAAGGATTTTCTTTACAGGTTAACTATTTGACAGACGAAGGTATCACAACAAGGAATTGATCAAATCAAGTGATTAGCTATTTGCACCATTTTTTAGAAAATTATGGAATTGGAGAAAAGCACCTCATCCTGAATGCCGACAATTGCCAGGAACAAAATAAAAATAACATTATGATGAGATATCTCATGTGGCGAGTTGAAGATGGACTTAATACGTCTATTATAATATCATTCCTGTGTGCCGGTCACACAACATTTTCGCCCGACTGGTGCTTCGGACTTGTGAAGCGACAGTACAGGAGGACTTTTGTTTCGTGTTTGCAGGACATAGCAAATGTAGTATCAGAAAGCTCAAGTAAAGGATCGAATACTCCCTGTTTAGTTGGGGATGAAGGTGGAAACTCGTTTGTGCCATTTTATGCATGGGATGATTTTTAAATCCACATTTTAAGCCATTAGTTGGTATAAAGTCAATGCATCACTTCAGGGTTGATCAAAATAAACCTGGGTGCGTCTTTGTAAAAGAGTGGCATGATACCGAAGAAAGGGAAATCAAACTGCTAAAGTCAGAGTTTCCAACAGGTATGCCACCACAAGGCTTAACTGATGCTAGAAAAAAATATCTGTACGATGAAATCCGTGAATTCTGTAGAGAAAATACGAGAGACCTTGTGTGCCCAGACCCACTGTAAATAGGGAAATTGTGTAATTAATTTAAATTTCAACACTTAAATGTTTTCAAATTAAAGCAGCTGATCGTTCACATTCCTTTCCGCATGCATAGTTGAACAGCACTACTGTAGTTCTTTATAGGCGGATCCAAGAGGGCTTAGCCAGCCCGGGCCCCTCTAAATATGCAAAATTTAAAAAAAAAATACGAAAAAAGAAAATTCGACTAAAATTTTTAGTCTAGGAGTACCATTTCCCGCCATCTAGAGGTGCCATAATCATATTTTTTTTTACCTCAGCCCAATCTTGGTGGGGCTGAGGAAATATAGACCCTTCACCTGTGAATGTCCCTCTCTAGCCCCCTCTATTTCAAATTTCTGGATCCGCCACTGGATCTTGGTGTACCTCAAGTAAGACAGATCATTATGAATCACCCTCATCTGTTTACCACTTGCACATTCATATATGTATGTATACACAATATATATAAAGGAGGATAAATTCATGTACTGTATACACAAATTATATAAAGGATATATAATTGGAGAAAAACTGTAATTTATTATTGATGACTACCGTACTCAAATGCTCAAAAAACCTAAAAGGCTATAACTTTCAATCCAATTCAGTCAGTGATACAAATTCGGAAATGTTGCCCCTGTCTCTTATACACATCTAGATGTGTATAAGAGACAGGAATGAATTATTGCTATGTACCAGCTGACTAGATTTACATTGTATAAATGGAGCAGATAGCTACATGCGGGAGGGGATAACGCTGTTTCAGTTTCTAAAGATAAATAGTACATCTACCTGGCATCAGTGGAGCATCTTTGTAATTACTTTTTTCCTACCAAATGGAGAGTTTATGGAAAACAGCAGCATTGTTCATGTGAATTGCTGTGATAAAACTCAATTGTTCGTTAGTTTGATTTTTGAGTCATCATTGGAGATCTTCCTTGGCAGCTGATGCTCTTAATCTTCAAACCAGGGACCTCCTCTCATTTATGTTGTTTGCTGATACGCTCTCAATTTGGTGGGGATACTGCACCAAGTCTGTTGAGATTAACCCAAGTCTTTTTTCCAGGTTTACAACATGTTGGTTACTGAAAAGGCAGTCAACAAACTGCTTAATGTACAAAGTTACCGGTAATTGCTTGGACCATCAGTCTACAATCTAAGTTGGTTGGTTCGAGGTGCTGTAACAGAGCTTTTGTAGCATAATGATTAACAGGCCCGTAGCCCACGGGGGGGGGGGGGTGGTTTCTGGGCGTGAGGTACACGGTCGAAGCCCCGGTTGGGTCGGCAAAACCCCCAAAGCAAGAGGATTTTTGTGCCTTATGGGTCTAAATAATTCTATAAAAGCAGATATGTTTGAAAAGGTCTTTGTTTGGGTGGGACTGCAGTGCATTAGTTAGGTTGGAGGACTTACGTTGGAAATTTGAAGAGGGGGGTTCGCCAGAAAAGAGGCGTGTTTGCTAGAAAATTATTATTATTATTATTATTATTATTAGTATTATTATTATTATTATAATACAGATAGGCTTATATGTCTAGTAATGACATGATTGATGTACAGTACCTGTCTCTTATACACATCTAGATGTGTATAAGAGACAGGTACCAGTGTGTCGAATGTTTTTAACTGGTTTTGTCATCGGCACCTAACAACTCTTAATTCATTTTTCAGAACAAGGTAAACTTTTTTGTGAATTAAAACTGTGACTCCATGGAGCAGTGTATAACATGCACCAGAGTACTGCTTGCTACAAGGACACTGCTGGTGATGTTCAGACTGCTGTAGTATTCATCCTATTCAGTCCCTGCTAACCTTAATAGGGTTTACATGAGACAGTGTCTTAATAACCATTGCATTGTTTTGTTAAAGAAGTGTTAGGATATGATCCAGTATGATGCCAAAAATGTCGTAGTACCTAATCGTGAGTCCCCCTGTTGACGAAGCAATTGTTAACTGGACGATCAGATCAGATCTGAGAGTTATTGGTTTGCTGATGACAAGGTGACATTATGGAAAGTATGTGCAACATCAACTTAGGTAGATATGTTAACACCATTCAGTTAGTGGTTTCTACTATATTGTCCATTACAGATCTCAAGAAGGAAAAGTCTGTCAAGTAATTGAAAATCTCAACAAACACTGCAAACTGGTAGACCTTTCTTTTCATTCCGATATACTCCTAATTTCGGAGTCCTTTAGGAGGTCATTTTTACACACCAGAACCAAACCAAAGGCAAGCCACTACTACAAGACCACAACTGTCTCAGTCAAAAAAGGCTGAGATGGTTTTGCACCTTGCTGTTAGTTTGAACTCTAAATGTCAAATGGATCATTCTTGACAAAATTTTCAACAAATTATTCAGCTGAGCGGCTTTAAAATATTTTGTACAGCACCGCATCTTCAAGAGCAGGATTTGTGGGTCAAAATGTCAATTTAAGGAACATACATTGGTATCAGCTGCAAAATGCATTTAATTGAACTTATTTTCAAAATTCATTTTTTTCATTCATTTATTTCTTCTTTAACCTGGGTGGCCTGTTCAGTGTTGAACACTGCTCTCCCACAGGGCCCAGGATCAACAATAAAACTCTTAACTACCAACAGTAACAATTTCAAACAGCCTATAAAAATATAAAAAATATATAGATATATAAAAAAAAGGAATAAATCCAATCAAAAACATTTAATTAAAAAAAAAATGAAAAATAGAAGAGTCATTGATCCCTATTGAACGCAAGAGTTTTTTAATTAGGATGCCGCAGCATCAATTTTGTCAGGCTGTTAGTGTTTATCTGCAGAGAGTGTAAATCTCGTAGAAGTGATTTGAATATTAAAATGGATTTGTGTATCAAAGTTTTTATGGCACCATCCCACAGAGGGAGGATTCAGACTTTTTTAAACGAAGGAGCAACAATTTCATAAAGGCCTTTAAATGATTATGATTATTATTATTATTATTAATATTATTATTATTAATAATATTATTAATATTATTATTATTATACAGATAGGCCTATATGTCTAGTAATGACATGATTGATGTACAGTACATGCTGTTACACTTAGTATTTATATGCGATTTTGTATTTTCACTGGTAACACACAAAAAAAATGACAGTGGCAAAACAGGGGAACGTTACCCTCCCTAAATTTTCCCCTGTCATTGTGGAAATCGAGGAACAAAATGTTGTGGCTATGGCAACTAGATGGCCGGAAATGGCACTCAGTCTTAGGCCTAAACTTGAATATACCTTTCCTCTTTTATATTTATTTTTTAATTTTCAAACAAGTTTGGGGGAGGGGGCCCTGGCCCGGGACGGGGTGGTGGGGCAGGGGGAATTAAGGGGCGAAGGTTAAGTGTCAGTGCTCAGTGATTAAGTCCCGGGGAGATTCAGATGGCAAAATATAGTGATATGTGAGTACTTGAGAAAAACCTTTTTTTTTGCAAAAGGATATCCAGTGGGGATGTGTGGGGAAGCAAGATTTCTGGGAGGGCGGTTATTTTTTGTGCTCTTATTTTCTTCCCAATGCATCATTGATCCCATTATATGATATCAGATAAAATAAAATGACTATTTTATGATATATAAATGAATAACGATGATCAAATTGCAATTTTTTTTGGGTAAAAACTAATTTTCGGCAGCGACCATTTTGAAATTCAAAATGGAGGCCCTAGAAGTGAATAAAAAATACTGGCACCCATTTTTTTCTTAATCAGTGAATTTTGTAGATATGTTTGGACATGTTTGCCAAGAATCTACCCAAAAAATTGACAAAGGTAAAAAATATGACATAAGACAACAGACTAAGAGCTGAAAAACAGTACATTGAAGGCCATCTGGAGAAGCTACCTTAAATTGTCCAAAAGAACTTCTCCAATTACCATTTGTAACTCCTATGGCCTGTGTTAAATTACAAGCTTATTCAATGCTTTTGGGATAGCCATTACTGAATGTTGAAAAATATCAGCCATCTCTCCATTGTCATAGCAAAAAGGCAAGCCATCTGATCCGAGGAATTACAGAGATCGTGAATCTTAACACTTTTATTGAGCTGCCTTATTCACCCCTGTAAAAAGTGGTATAATGACATGATTACTCGACAACAAATCTACAACAGATGCAATATTTGCCCTCAAAGCAGCTCAACAAGTGTACTGGAAACAAAAAAAAGGCTCTAATTTACATTTGTGGATCTGAAAACCGGATTTGACTGGGTTGATTGAAAGAAAGTGTTTGCTTCCATCCATCTAAGAATTTATAATGAAAGAAACCCTAGATACTTGAAATGTATAAGAATAATGGAGATCCTATATTCTAAATCAATGAATTACCTGAAAAATGAAGGAAAAATGCGAAGTTTGGTGTTGCACAAGGTTTTAATATCTTTTCTTTGATCTCTTGTTATGACCATTTAGTGATATTTGCACTAAAAAGAACATTGGGATCCAGATAACTTATGCCTTCCTTCAGCCTCCAATAAAAAAATGCATTATAAAGCAAAATTGAATATACTGTATAATAATGTATGTGGATTAGGTATGCAGACGATTTGTGCATTCTGACAGAATCCAAGAAAGATGTTAAAATCAGGCTCCGGGGAAATATGATATGTTGTAGAACTGATTGAGCTTGGAACCAAGTTACAAAAAAGATTAAAGTGTTGGTAACGATCCAAATTCGAGTGTGAATGTGAGGGTCATTAGGTCCAGACATAAATATCTCTAAAATGGATCAATACATCAAAATGAAACTTATCAGAATAAGTTTTCATGTTTCAATTAAGAAATTTTAAAATTTTGATGACGATATGAAGTAGGGTGTGGCTATGACGACCATTTAAAGAATATGTTTAATGTATATCGTAGGCAGATGCAATAGCTGTATGATGAATATTCAAATTAGTGCAATTAGTTTGAATAAATTTGATGCATTGGAAAAGTAAGATGCAGAGTTTATAATGTTTTTAAATATTTTTTCTGGCCGTATATCTCACAATCTAATGTCCTAATTTTATTGTTTAAATAATTGTGAAGAAAAATAAAATATAAAAAAACATGCACAGATATAAAAAGTTAATTATAAAAATATTAAATAATAATAATAATAATAAACAAACAAAACAAAAAAGATTTGAGATCGAACTACACACAGTCGATCAACTTTACACACAATACGTTCATTTTAACCGATCATCTACACTTCACCTGATGCGTATAATTCATCAACAACCAGCGGATGGAGCGAATCGACTATACACATATAATATGGCGCAACATGGCGAGGGTTTGTAATCTCAAATTATCTTGTTGAAAAGTAAATGCATTGCCTAGTGAAATAGTGTTTTTACAGTAAATGAATTGAAGTGCAAAATGGAAAAACCCCTCAACCTTCGCTCTGCAAGTTCAATAAGCCCTCTACAGCAACCAATGATTGGTGATTAAATTTTCAAATACTAAGCAAATGGTCAAAAGTAAGCAAATACCCTTACTTGAACATATAGTCTCTGCTAATCCATGTTCACTAGGTGGTCCATCGGTCTTTTTGCCGCCCACTAATCTCGAGTGCTGAGTGTAGAATTCAACATTCGTGTGTGGTAAGAGATTGCCAATGATATATACACCGTTTTCAATGTTAACAGCTGTAGTAAATGTACTTGTCTGCGATGTTTTATACCATAACTTGCATCCAGTAATAATTCCTGTTCCAAAGTCTTGAACTGGATCCCAGGTACATGCAATCTTTAGGGTAGTTGGTGTTTGATCAAAAAGTTTTGGCGGTTTGGAACTGTAAGGCATTGCTAATAACAACAACACTCATAGTATTTATTCTAAATATAGTAGAGTGGTGACAGATACATAAGTTAAGTCGCTTAATTTCGAAAATTGTTGCATTGCGTTTATAAGAGTGTACAAAATCAAGATTTAAGCTCAATTTTACAAAATTCAAACTATTTTTGAAGACGTTTATCGTTACCTACGCTGCAGTCTGTTCCAGCCCATGCTTCATGACATCCATTTTCACAGCTTCCATTACGATTACAATCAGCTGAGTCTTTGCAATGACATGGATAGTTACACAAAACACCAAAGAAACCAGACGGGCAAGACAGACCCGGCCGTAATTCTATAACAAAATGTAACATCATTATTTTCTTTAAATGTTGAATCAAAGGTATTAGATAGGTCAAAATAACTTTTGAAACATTAATATTAATGCTCACATGTTCTCCTATTTTGAATTATTCAATTTGATAATCTTCATGTCCACATGTAGATTAAAGAATCTCAATTTCTATGAAAATAGGCCCTATTGAACTAAACAAAAATTAACTTGGTTAGAATCATTAATTATTTTTGTTCATTCTCTTTTTTTTTCCGGACCCCTCTATCTCCTGAGACAAGAAAATCATAATGGATTGTAGAACTTAAGATCATATTCGCATCTTTTCCATAAGAGAACATATGCCTGCACGGCGGTGAACCCCTCCTCCCCCTCAAAGCGTCGTATGTTTTTTTTTTAACTGGTCTGTAGAAATGATAGAAATGATTATGTGTATTTCCTTAGAGCTCCCTTCATCAAATTAGGACCGACTAGATGTTTTTAATTGAAATAAAAAATTTGACAGTCATTACAAATTCAGTTTTTTACATTGTATTTTAATTTTCTACTCCCTAAATCCTCATCCTCAGGCATCACACATTTCTCCATTTTTAAGTAGGCTCCAGAATATCAGCGTGCCTCCTTTGTAAACTGGGGTTACCCTTTATTTAAAAAACACCTTCTTCAGAACTTAACAAATATTTGTGGCTGGAGGCTAAACAAGTAAATTGTGACCCAAGGGCTGTAAACTCGCACAGCACTGTATTGAGAAACAAGCCTCCATAGCTAGAATAGGGCGTAGAGCGTGAATTTTCTGTGAATTGGGTTTTTGTGTAATGAATAAAGTATAACTATTATTCTTACTATTCCTGAAGTTTGAACTTAAAATTCCAACTGTAAGAGGTAAAATTTAGCCATATTTGGATGGGAGCTAGTGAAAAATGAATAGAAACCTGCCGAAAATAAAAGCGTTTTTCTCAAAACTTGATTTAAGAAAGTTGATAAGATGACAATTATTCTAACGGTCATTAAAACTTTGCTTCCAGACACCTGATTGAGTTCATTTAACTGTCATTTTAAAGTAAATGATATGTTCTATGCCATTATAACAAAAACTAATTTTGGCCTGAGGACGCGTTTACAGCCCTTTTGTGAGCTTGGGTCACAAATGTTTAATATAGCCTGGCCTTACCTTTGTAACCATATGTAAATTGACAACTATAAATAGGTATATTAAGAATATGCTTATTAATACTGTAGGCTAATTAACTGCTCTACTGCAGTGGTGGCGCCAGAGGGGGGCTGAGGGGTCATAGCCCCCCGTCGGGGAAGCTTAGCCCCCCTCCCGTCGGGGAAGACGATATTTTTTGTCGGGGAACAAACAAATAAAAAAAAATATTCACATGTAATATTCGTTTAGCCAACATATTGTTTGTGTTAACTTTTTATCACAACGACAACAACAACAATAATAATAATAATAATAATAATAATTATAATAATAATAATAATAATAATAATAATAATAATAATAATAATAATAATAATAATAATAATTCAATGAGACTAATTAAAAATAATTTGCGTTCTGTTATGACAAATGATCATTTAGATAGCCTCATGATGGTTGGAATTCATCGTGATAGGTGAAGCAACCTCGATCATGACAGCGTGGTTGACAGATTTAATGCAAAACTTCCAAAATATAGAATTTAACTTTCAAGAATGAGGATTTGAAAATAAATTAGATGGTTACATTGCATACTCTTTGTTTCTTGCTTTATTCAAAATGTTTTGGTTTTGGAAGCTGATTTCAACATAAGAAAGCATAGCCTACATGAAGTCATATTATAGTAACTCGATGCCTATCAAATAATAAAAAATCGCCATAATTCATCAAATACCCCCACCAGGCGCCCCCAGCCAAGTGAGACTCGATTCGCTCCACTAGCCCCCCCTCCCCACCGTCGGGGCTTTTAGCCCCTCCGTCTGGCAGGTCATAGCGCCACCACTGCTCTACTAAATTACGTTAATTTTGGGATACAAGGTATAATTACTATATTTTTAATTATCTTTGTTGCTTATATGTAAATTAGTATTTCTAATAGGAATATTAGAATAGGCTGTGCTTTTACAAAATTACTACTATATTTTGCATATAATATAAATATAAAATAATTACTGTTAATGTTACCGCTCATAGCATTTGACAACTAAAATCTGAATATTACCTTGACACGCTGGTCCCATGTAATCATCAGAACAAGATGATCCAGATGTACACATCCCTGTTTTTCTGTCACATTCTCCTGAATCGCAGTGACATTCTTGACGGCAATCTGCGCCATAGTAATTGTTAGCACATTCTGTGAAATAGTACATTTTGGTAAAATCACATTGTTAGTCGTTTTGACCATTTAAACATCATCTTGTATGAAAATACATGTGACGAGCGACAATATTTTGATGATCCTTTTTAAAATTAAAATGTGCAGAGTACACTCTTATTGCGGTTACTTGTTTGTTTCCTGGGACTGTTCAACCCATGAATTTTAAATTCAAATGCGCAGGTTTTTTGGATTGATCACACTGCTCGCGCGTTTTATAGGTTCGACAATGGAAATAAAACAAAGCTTGTATAGGCATTATGCAGTAATATGTTGTAATAATGACATCATTATAGGCCCCTGGAATCCAAGATAAACACAAACAACAAAGTAATAAACAGTAGCCAAAGACTTCTCGAACCTGTATTGCAATCGTTGCCTCCGTATCCGTTGATGCAGGTGCATCCGAATGGATCAGGTGGACAATAAAGCCTTCCTTTACAAGCTTCGTCATTTCCAGTCGAGCAATATACATCACAATTACGACCCCAGTTGTTGCTTGTTCCACAAGCTACACAATCAAACAAAAAGAAAGTATAAACAGAAAAAACAGATATATAACAAATTTTAAAATGAATAATAATAAGAAGAAGAAGAAGAAGAAGAAGAAGAAGAAGGAGAAGGAGAAGGAGAAGGAGAAGGAGAAGGAGAAGGAGAAGAAGAAGAAGTTAAATATGGATAACTAGTTAATGAGGTCGGGGAGCCTAGCCTTGAAGATGTCCAATGATGGAGCTTCAGTATAACTCGCTCCACATTTTTTTTTATTTATGCAAATATGCTTATATGTCCACAATTTTCCATCCTTACCCTATTCCTTTTAGCTCTTTTGAATTGATCCTTAAGTTTAGTTTCAGAAAACTGAGGGTTTTGTTAGCTTTGGCTTTAATTTTAGTTATATACTTGTTCCAGCTTAGATCTGTGGTCAGGGTAAGGCCAATGTATCTTGCTTCCTTCACATGTTCAAGGACAAAATCACAAAGCAAGAAATTTCGGTATATGGGATTTCTGCAACGGGTAAGTACCTGACATATTTTTTTTTTCTTTTTGTGCAATTGCATGCACCAGGCATCTTCCCAGACAAAAAGTTTTTGATGTCTTCTTGTAAATGGTTGCTGCTTTCATTTTGAGTGATGGTAGAGTAGACGATTGTGTCGTCAGCAAAAAGGCGTATGTTAGAGTTTCGACCATCCGGTAGATCGTTATGTAGAAGAAAAAAAAGTGGGGCCAAGTACAGACCCTTGCGGTACACCAGAAATTACATCTGCAGCCTCCTACCTCTCTCCTTCTACTAGCACCTTCTGTTTTCTATGTGTTAGGAATTGATTTATTAATCAATTTGTTTTCCACTTTATACTATAATGCTGTAATTATTGAATCAGATGCTTATGGCCAACTTTGTCAAATGCAGTACTGAGGTCCATTATCAGAATATCAGTCTTCAATTTTCCCCTCATGTTATTTCTTAAATTTGCAACAAATTCAACAAAATGTGTCTCACATGATCGGCGATCCCTGAATTCGTGTTGTAATTCATATAGTCATATAACAAGTTTGTATGTCGCATGATATTGCTAACAATAATATATTCCATTAGTTTGCAAGCTATACATATAAGAGATATGGGTCGGTAGTTACATGGATCGATCTTGTTTCCTTTCTTATACACTGGGGTAACATAATTATGCGGTTTTCCAGTCATTAGGTACTTCGCCATAGTCATATGACCTCTTAAAGATGTTGGTCAATGCTGGCGCAATTACAGGTAAAAGGTTTGTTTTTCAGGACAAAAGGGCTGATTCCGTCTGGTCCGCATACCTTGTGTATGTAAAGTTTGCTGATTGATTTATCAACTCCAGGAACTGTGATGCAGATATCTTCTATCTCAGCGAATTATTTGTTCGGTAGTTTATAATTTTCTTGAAGAGGTTTTTCTCTACTGAATGCAGATTGGAATTGTTTGCAAAGAATGTTTGCTTTGATGTACTTTACTCCATTTTGCTTTGCTTCCGTTCTCTTTTGATGCAGTACCAGAAAGGTTTGGTGCAGTTTTTCACTTTTCCATCTTTAATTGGGATTAATTTTTTTCCCACATGTTACCAAAATGCTTGTCTCATGTTTTGTTGAATTATGACTTCTCTTATATTTACTATTGAAATATATAAATATATAAAAGTAAGTACTAAAAATGTTAATTTAGTTAAATGTAATTTAATTGTAGGCATACATGTTTGGCAGTATTCTCCTTTGAAGCCTGCGGGGCAAATACATAGACCTGTCTTGTCGTCACAAACTCCACCGTTATAACACACAGGACAATCCATCTCACAATCAGGGGGACTCCATTTTGGCAGCGGACAATCTAAGTAAAAAAATTAATCAAAAAGTGAGGCTAAGATGAATACAAAACCAAATTGAAGGACAGCAAATTTCATTTATTAATACTGCCTGAAAATTGTTCTGTCGAGTACAGTATATAGGTTTCAACTTTATATTGTTTCTTTTAAGAAAGATGTTTATTGAATGTCTATGGTAAAACAACATTAACAAATATGGTTTATGTATTATTTTTATTATTGTTATTATTATTATTATTATTATTATTATTATTATTATTTATTATTATTTCTTTTATTTTCAGATCTGTTTTTATATCATAATTGTATAGTAAAAACAAAAAGAGAAAATCATATTGATTATATGATTGTACAGTACTGTACAATAAATAAGTAATTCCATTCCATTTTGATAAAAATTTATATTTAAAAAAGTATATTATCGACAATTCGGTACCAGGCCTAGTTTAGAAGTTGATATGTAATTCGGACAACCTACAACTAGCCTAGGCCTACTAGTACTACCCTAGGCCTCTAGGCCTAGTCATAAGACCAAACACTTCTTAAGATGATATTTAAAACTATTCAATGTAAATTTATTTATCATCAGGAACATTAGCCCATAATTTCGGACCCCAAAAGAGAACTGAAAAACGCCTAATACTAGATGTGCACGGAGTACGAGAAGTATAATTGATGCCAGAAAATATTGTATTATACTGATGATGTTCAGATGCACGTATAAAGATTACTGATGTTGGGTGGTAAAGTATTATGCGATATACGATACATAAAAGCAGCAGTTTGGATTTTATTTAAATCATATACATGTAAAACATTAAAGTGATGAAAAAGGTGTTTGGTGTGAGCTCTAAAAGAATCACCTGAGCAAATCCGAAGGGCTCGTTTTTTGAAAGAAAAAATGCAATCGATGTTAGTCGATTCAAAGCTGGACCAGAGACATAAAGTTTCAAACTTATTTAAAGTGATTCCCCTGCAATATTGCAATAAGAAATATAAGGTAGTACTATTATATAAGGTTAAAAGAATTTTTGATGGAAAATAGTGCTTAAGCTTGTTTAAAATACCAATGTTACGTGCAATAATATTTGATACCTGGTTGACATGCAGTTTCCAAGAAAGTTTGGAATCAATTGTGACACCCAGAAATTTTGTCTCATTTACACGAGTTATTAGGTTATCATCAATAAATAAATTGTCATTAGTTGTAATATAATTATGCTGATTGAAAATAATGTAGTTACTTTTCGAGGTGTTCAATGACAGTTTATTAAGTTTAAACTATGTAGAGACCTTACTTAACTCAACGTTCATGGTATTTAGTAGTAAATTTTTATTCTTATGAGAGAAAACAATATTCGTGTCATCGGCAAAGAGAACAAACTTAAGATGATTAGAAGAATTGGGAAGATCGTTGACATATGCAAAACAGAAGTGCTTCAAGTATCGAGCCTTGAGGCACACCACAAGGTATTGACGCAATGCAAGAACCAACAATATTGACAGTAGTATAGCGATTGGTGAGGTAGCTCTTTATAAGTTGAAGTTGAAGGACTCTGATACCGTCATTTTTAAGTTTATGTAAAAAAAAGTTGTGATTAATGGGATCAAAGGCCTTGGATAGATCAAGAAAAGCTCCAAATACATATTCGCGCTTGGAAAATGCAATAGTAATGTTATCGTAAATATCAATGAGTGCAAGTTCAGTGGAAACATTTTTCTAAAACCGTGTTGACTTGGAAATAGAAGATTATACTTGTTAAAGAATTATATAAGCGGTTGTAGACAACACGTTCCAAAATTTTAGAGAAGCATGGAAGAAGAGAAATAGGTCGGTAATTAATAAATTGGTTCGCAATTTTCAGGGAATCTGGAAATATTCCCGTTAGTACAGAAATATTATTAAATATATGAGATAAGGGATTAGAAATAAAAGTTGCTACTTGCTTTATACTTATAATATTAGATAAACCGTCAATTCCCGCACTTTTTTATCTTTTAAATTATTAATTAATTCAAGCATCGACCAATTTCTATCACACCTATTTTTGGGCGTATTTTTGATAGTTTTATTGCTGAGTGGATCTATAAAGATTTCCAACCACTTTTGGACCCACAGCAATTTGGAAACTCAAAGGATGTGCAACAACTCACTACCTGGTTGAGCTCTGTCATAGGATTTTATCAGGTACTGATGGACATGGAATGTATGCCTCTATTTGTACTGTCGACTTCAGTAAGGCCTTTGATCGTGTAAATCATGCCATTTTAATTAATAAATTAATCAATTATAACATATGCCCTTCAGTAATACCTATCACTTGTAGCTTTTTATCTCAGAGGTAAATGTATGAGAATGGGTGGGACCTTTTCATCTCTTATGCCAGTTACGTGTGGAGTGCCTCAAGGCACCAAATTAGGTCCCATTCTTTTTACTGTGTTGGTCAATGATCTATTAGTACATATTCCAGTGAGATGGAAGTTTGTCGATGACTTGACTATCGGTAAGATCAGTCATGTTTCTCTTGGTGGTCATATGACAGCAGGCCATTTTCTTCAGAAGCATCTTGATGAGCTCCAAACTTGGTGCAACAAAAATGATATGCTACCTAATCCCAACAAATGCATTTCCTTAAGAACAAACCTCATTTAATGCCATTACGTATTAGGGAATGGCATTTTAAAAGTGAAATTTTTGTTAAGTTGCTGGGTGTCCATATACAACAAAATATGAAATAGGACACTCAAGTGAATGAAATGGTATCTAAGGCCTCCTGTCGTCTGTATATGTTGTATATAGGCCTGCTAAGGCATTATGGTGCCCCCGAGATGACCTTGTATTTACCTATATTACGTACATCAGGCCCCTACTGAAGTAAGCTAGTCCGCTGTGGCATTCTGCTTTAACGAAAAAGCAGTGTGCGCAGGTGGAATTCATCCAGAAAAGGGCACTCAAGATCATTCTTGGCTATAACAACTACAGTAGTTACCAGGATGCCTTGGATACACTTACTCTAACATCATTGCTGCGAAGCAGCCAATTCATATTCTTGACAGCAATTTGAACTCTGAAAGGTCATTTTTGTTTAAAAAAAAACAAGGGCCTAAGACGACTGAAAAGCGGAGTTTCCTTCTTTCGTTCTGCCGGGTAAAATCAATTACTTTAGGCGACGTTTGTAGACTAACCTACTCTACCAACGTCCGAATGTCGCGCTAGCCTTATCCTACTCTAGGCCTAGACTAGCTAGGATGGTATAGACTTAGCCTTGAAGGGACGAAGGTCCCAATGAAAAACAACGTCGCTACTTGATAGCTAACATTGTCTATTTAACATCACAATAATGTTTTTTGAATTGTACTCCACAAATCTTAGCCGATACCTCGCACAACTCGTTAACGTCTCTTAACTATTGTCGTGACGTCATGTCTCGCTGGCTCACACACTTGCGATGTCTCGTGATCAAATAACACGTTGGCTCGCACTTTGGCAACACTCTTTGGCAGTCAACTCGCCCCTAGAAAACCCGCCCTTGGAAACTTGCCCCATAACAAAAAATCACAATTCCTAGACCATGCAGTCTTCAAAATAAAAATTGTAACCTTTGGTAATCAACTACATTTTCCATATACATAAACATTTTTGAAACTTATTTTAAAAAACCTAAACTATAAACCAATTAATAAAAGTGAAGATTAGGGCAGACCGAATAAAATCGCCATGGATAACTGAAGGTATAGCTTTATCAATCTCCACTAAAGACAAATTATACAGAAAATATAAGAAAACCCCAACAGACAATAATAAAGTAAAGTACACAATATACCGAAATAAATTAACATCCACAATTAGAATGCGAAAGAAACAATATTATTTTGATCTATTTGAAAAACATAAACAAAATATAAAAGAAACTTGGAACATTATAAATGAGATTCTTGGGAGTAAACGTAAAAATACTCTACCAAAAGAATTTAAATTTGGACAAAATGAATTAAAAGAACCAAAGCTACAGGCTGAAACATTTAATTCTTATTTTATCAACATCGGACAAAATTTAGCTAATACATTCAATAATGACAATACGCCAAGTGAAAATCCAAAGTCCTTTCTAACCGGTAACTATGTAAACTCAATGTTTTTTAGACCAGTAACTGAAAATGATATTCACGATTATGTTAATAATATGAAAACTAACGTTTCACCGGGTCATGATGGAATAAATTCTAATTATATTAAGCCTGTATCTCATACTATTATAAAACCACTTACTCATATTATTAACGTATCTTTAATGACTGGTTGTTTTCCTAACCAATTAAAAATTGCAAAAGTTATACCTATATTTAAGAATGGAGAGGTGAAGGATATTTGTAACTATCGTCCGATTTCAGTATTACCATGTATATCAAAATTGTATGAGAGAGTTGTATATGATCAAACTATGTGTTATCTAAACAAATTTACAATTTATCTCAAATCTCAATATGGTTTTCGAAAAAATCATTCGACTTGTCAAGCATTACTTCAGACTGTAGAACATATTACAAATGCTATCGAAAATAAGTGCTTTACAATTGGTGTATTTCTAGATCTGTCAAAAGACTTTGACTCGGTAAATCACTCTATCCTATTGGAAAAACTTAAATATTATGGTTTTAGAGGCATAACATTGAAATGGTTTACAGACTATCTAAGTAATAGACAACAGTACACCGTAGTAAATGGATGTTCATCAGCAAGAAAGGAACTAAGATGTGGCGTTCCACAAGGCTCGATATTGGGCCCCCTGCTATTTTTGCTGTATGTAAACGATCTTATGTATTCATGTAAAAAAATAGAGATGATCATGTTTGCAGACGACACAAATGTTTTCTTTAAGCATAATGATTTGCAAGAGGCTTTTCAAATATTAAACAATGAGCTTGTATTACTTTCTAAATGGTTCAATGCAAATCAGCTTAAGATAAATGAAAGTAAAACAAGCTATGTTATATTTAAGAGTAAATATAAGAGTATTGACAATGCAAATTTAAAACTTACTATTAACTGTGTCGAAATTGTACGTACAAATCAAACAAAACTTCTTGGAGTCTATCTTGATGATGTATTGTCTTATGATTGCCATATAAATGCGATTGCAACTAAGGTATCAAAGGTAGTTGGTGCCCTCAACAAATTAAAACACACATTGCCCCATGATATTTTACTTAAAAGTTATAATGCTTTAATCCTTCCACATTTGACATATTCAATTTCATCATGGGGTTCTGCGAGTTCTACCAAATTAAACCGACTTCATATTCTTTAAAAAAAAAAGGCATTACGGGCTATATTTAATGTACATTATCAACACCCATCCTTACCTCTCTTCAAACAAGCTAAACTTCTGAACATTTATGACCTGTATGAACAAAATGTAGCAATTTTCATGTTTAAATTTTTTTAAATTACTTACCAGCTACCTTTGATACACTTTTTAACCATTTTGAAAATATTCATGAATATAATACAAGAAATAAAAATGATATGTATATAGCAATAAAAAAATCTCAGTTTGGTCAGAAAAGTATATCATACCAAGGGTCAAAGATATGGAATAACATTCCACAAGCACTAAGGTCTCTGAACTCAGTAAGCAATTTTAAAAAACTTTTTAAGCAACAATTATTGAATAAGTACTGACTGTCATCATTTGTGTATGTATGTGTATATGTATATATGTATGTATATATATATTATAATCACCAATCCGCTACTTAATTAACTTTATCGATTTATTGATTCACTTAATTGAAATATTTCTATAACATTCGTGTATATTATTATTATTACTTTATTATTTTTGTTATTATTGTTATTGATGTATTGTTATTGTTGTTATTATCATTATTATTATTATTATTATTATTATTATTATTATTATTATTATTATTGTTATTCTTATTTTTATTTGGGCTACATGCTTAAAGTTCTTCTTGTTAGGTTTGCCTTTTTCCAATTCCTTTGATTTTGATTTTCAATGTTTACTACTTATCTGTTGTAAATTCTTTGAATTGGAAAATAAAATGATTGATTGATTGATAAATTCACCACTATAGACACTTTTTGGCAAAAATGAAAAATTACGACTTTGTTACCCAATGAGAAGTGTTCTAATATAGACAATGGATCGTGTCTCATATTATTTGTTATATTTTTATTATTCATTATTTTCACTTGACTCGCATAACTAATTTTGTTCGAAGAACATTTATATGCAGTTGTACTTCGCAGCACTTCACTTGCAATTTGCAATTTCTAGTTACAAGAACTA